CCTTCAGGTAAACTGAACCCGCTGAACGGCAAGAACAAACCCGATCCGGGAAGCTTGGGCGAAAGCCTCGATCCTATGTATAAATCCGTGACAGAGTTGCGCGGCCGTTCAGAAGGCACAACACATTCCGAGGTGTCTGCACCTTCAGACACCCATTCTAAAATCTGGGTAGAAACCAACAACAGGAACGCAATTGACATCGGCTGGCAGGCATATCACACAGCGTTTCCAACAATGCACAAGGCTCACCCAGACTAACCGTGAAAAATGAGTCACACCAATAGTATCCAAACATTTCGTAATCGCTTTGACAGCCCTCTGCTTGCACCACCCTGAATTGGGTAGAGGAAACAAAACTTTAAGGAAAACGATAATTTTGCATGGGTGATGTGTGACCTGATCATCTGCATTTATTCTTTTCTTCACAATAGGGCTTTCAAATAAATAATGGTTGCACACCAGGGAAGCATCGGTGCTGAACACTGATGTCATGCTGTCGACGATGATGGTGATGTAGCTTTTGACGCTGAACATATTCTTTGAGTGAAGTCCCATTGCACAGCCGAACGCTCGCTTCCTAGTTTCCCCGGTATAGATTCGCCGGTACCAACCGACACGAGCTATGATCCTGAGAAAACCGTCGTCGAGGGCCTTAAGACTTAGTAAACGCGACCCGAGCCTTGGAGATTCGTACAACGGCCTCATCTTCCACACTAAATCCAGTATTCATGAGACCTCCAAGGCACGTAAAACGCCCCATCAGTGGGGTTTCTTTACTGGATTTGTTAATGGTGTGTAAAGATACATGACCTTGGTTTGTCGATGTGAAGCGCATGTCAAACGACTGGATAGGTTTGCTCAGTTGACCCGTAGACCGACCCATGCGCCCCATTTTCCACACCGAAGACGAGAACGATGTCGTTTACACATTCCAGGTCAACAAAGCTTGTGTCAGCAGCTGTTTGAGCACCAGCGTTAGTCTCATTACCCCATAGATCACGAAACCAGGTACGAATGGAGTGATGGGGCACCCCTGGTGGACACCTTTTTGTGTATAGAAACTTGGAAAGCTCTCCAAATACCTTCACACGCCTGGAAGTCTGAGAGTACAAAGAGTCTATGCTGACGAACTTCCGAGGCACTGATGGGCACGTGTGTCGAGGAGAACAGATAGGTCAACCGAGTCCAATGAGCCGTGGGAATCCGGGAATACTAAAGTTGTACGCATGAGGCTCTAGCACCTGGCAAAGTGTGGTGATTTGGTCAACGCAACCCATACCACGCCGGAATCCTGCTTGCTACTCTCGAGTCAGTGTTCCACGAGCCTTCTGTGACTGTTTCATTCAGTAGGGGTAGGTCCTTGTTTGAAAACGGGCACTCACCAGTCATCCTCAGTTCCCAAATAGAGGCAAATGGATCAGACAAACACTGACTTAGGGGTCCAGTCTCATCTGGATGAGGAGCCCGGCGGTGCATGAGGTAGGCTATTCAGCAAGAGACGTTCGAAGCCGTAGGGTGTCCAGGTTCACCGTCCAAGATTCTAGTGCAGTTCGAATATCCGGCTGAATTTCAGCAAATGGTCACTATATTTTTTCAAGGTTCTTGATTCAGCTGTTGGGGCATCGTTCGTTGTTAGAGATGGTGGTCTCGGTTTTACCTTTGATAGTTTCATTCTCAGGCGCTTTTGGGGGATCGGTCGTGTGGATTAACCGAAATAATCTAGGCAATTTTCAGGATTATTCGCCTCTACCATTTTCTGGGCCTTCAATGTCCGTCAGGCTTCACGTTCGGTGTGTATGCTAAATTTCACGTAGCTTGTAATAGTCCACTAGGTTGGTTGTGTTCAGGATCGGCAAGAACACTTCTAGGATTTTCACACTCCATCTACTAGTAAGAGCCGTGTTTTTCACTTCAAATCATAGCATTCATATGGGGCGGAAGATGCCATCACTACCTGAACTGAAAGCGACCATTCTTCTGTTCACTGTCGTGGGATTTATGTGCAGTCCTGGATTGGTTACAACCGCTTTCGCTTCACAAAAAATTATTCAGCTGTAGCACCCTTTCGGTGCCTAATTGTCAGGCCATCAGAAGGAAGCACGAGGGCTGGGATAATGCCAGGTTGCCCAAACCCAGAGAGGGGAAGTCGAGAGTTAGAAGTTGGGTTTGAGCCATGGACTCCCCGTTGAGTAAATTCGCGCTCTAACCACTAAGCCATATCGGCCCCTTGCCCCACAGAATACGGCGTACAAGTGGTTTCAGTGGGTAGTGTGCAATTTTGTTTCTTAGCCAAAACTTGCGCTCCGAGCTGGTATTTTTGAGGTCCACAAGAGATGTCGGGTAAATCATGTAGACAGCGCCTTATTTTGTCCTTGCATTGGTGTTTTTTGGGGGGATTTCGAAGGTACAGACACTTTTTTAATGACTGATCCATAGGGATGTAGGACTTTGCAACGCATGATCATCGTAGTCTACAGCAACCTTATGTGTTTACACCAATGCTTCCCTGCTGTACAACCGCAGTCTTCTTAATTGAACTTCAAATGAAAAAGAAGAGTCCATTGAAGAGGAGGTTTGTCCTGGCCTACTGGAAGCTTATGTGTTGTTCCTCAACCAGGCGAACCGGACGGGATCTGATAGCACGAACCCCGGTGATACCTCTTGACCGCCGTATCGTGCAACTCTATCCGGGCGCAGAGAAAGTCACGGAACCCCTGTCTTGAAAGGCGGACCACACAAACAACACCCAGGATTCCGAAGTCTTTTTCATGCCCTTCTACTTATTCACATGTCCACTCCAAAAATAGTACTGTCCTCAAGAAAGTCCGTGAAACAATTATTTGATATGCGCAGCATATACCCTAGGCCCCGCAGATTATTTACATTTTCCTGAGTTCTTTGCGGCTTAAAGTGAATTTTACTCTGTATGTTTTCACCTGGGCTAGATGGCCAAAGTGGTTAGAGCGCGAATTTACTGACCGGAAGGTTCGTGGTTCGAACCCGACCTCTACCTCTCGAATATCTCTGTCTAGGCTTGGGCAGCTTGGTAGTATCCCAGCCCTCGTGCTTCCTTCTGGTGGCATGGCAGCTAGGCACCGAAAGGGTGCTGCAGCTGAACGGTTTGATTCGATTTGATTTTGTCACCTGGAGTACTGGAGTGTTTGATTCGCCTAACTCCTACATTCTTACTCGGACAGATGGAAGGAATCGGTCGAGCTATATGCCGATATACTATTCGGTCCTCACTACATACACTCAGTACCAACGACGCAGGTGATCTTTTCAGAGTTCTCCCAAATTCACTCCCAGTCATGGATATTCGTGAGCTCAACTTGTCACTCGTTTCGTCAGTTATCTGAGCACTGTCGAGATAGTAGAAAATATAACAACATTCTATCAACTACGATTTACCTGCATGCTCTGTGGGTTTTCGTGTCTGCAGGGACGGGTTGGAATCAGCGTTCTGGGTATATGTGTATTTAGGCAATAAGAAGATGTGGACGGAATTGTTATTGGACTCCATATTTTCGCTCCGTAACATGTTAACAAGAGAGAACTATGTACGAACACTGAACCACATAGCATTCGTTTGATTGGGAAGGGTTTTGAATTTCATACGTTAATATCCAAGCGACACTAATACTGAATTTCAGTGCGCCTCCGTACATATTCTAGTTAGACACAATCTTTATGGAATAAACGCGTCATTGTCAGAACCTGCAGCTATGGGCCTACTAGATCTAAATTCAGCCTTCATCTCAAGGGTGAAATAATCGAGGGAGTTGGCTTTTTTTCCGAGCAGCCCAACTTCTGAAAAATAATCTTCCTGACCCCTGCTTACCGAATCCTGGGTCTTCGTGCGGCGTATCCCATGGAATCGCCTTCGAGTAGTCACACGGCCTCTATACTACTTGTACCGAAAAGGGCATACAATCGACATTTGCTTGCTGACCGTCAACTGCTTCCGGATGGCACGGATTCTTAACGTTGCTACAAGATGTAGGGTGTCTCGATTATTTGGTGGCCGGGGGTCATGTCAGCATCCATGATTAATTGAGTACTTATGACAAGGTTTCGAACGGCGTAGTTCGCCGTCAGGGAATAGCGTAATTGAGATTACATGGAGCTTTGAGAGGCAGTTTCCCGTTGTGCTGGTAAGTAAACCACTCTACGACAGTTCAGCCTTAGCATTAGACATCCTAACGTGGGATAAGTACCATCTTTCATTAGGTCACTATTATCACCAATTGTTTTATCTTTGGGTTCCCCTCTGGAACCTCAAAGAAGGCCAACACGGACTCGAATGCTGCAGCTCACAAGAACTTACTTCTTGAAGCAGGGTGATAAACAAGCACACGGAAAGCGCTGACAAAAGCACAGGTATCAGTCTAGGTAATTCATCCATTAATTTTGAGCGGTTATCTCACGGAATTATCATCCTCGGTCTCAAAAGAACTCTTAGAAGATAGTGGATTTTGGTGTGATTCGTTCAGCTGTAGCAACCTTTCGGTGCCCAACTGCCATGCCACCCGAATGTTGCACGAAGGCTGGGATACTGCCAGGTTTCCCAAGCCTAGACAGGGGAAGTCGAGAGGCAGAGGTCGGATTCGAACCGCGGACTTTGCGGTCACTAAATTCGCGCTCTTACCACTTGGGCCATCTCACCAAATGAAAACAGTCACAGACCGACGATCATACTTTCCAGTGAGGCGCGTGAAATGTTAACTCATTCGAAGTCAGTTCTCTGTGACCACATCGATCGACCGACTAGGTTGAATTGACTTGAGTTTGAAACTGGGTTACACTCATTGCTTGTCAATGATGCATTGTCCGATTCCAAGACAAGTTGATAAGGCCCAGAAAATATTTCCGTTCTACTGTTTACAATAACAATAACAATAGCCACGTCTCTTAGCGATATAACTGTATACGGCCTATTAACGTAAGCGTGATTCGTAACAACCCTTTTTCTACCCCTAGCTCTTGTCTTCTTTTCAGTGATTGGGCGTCGCCAAACGAGGTTGTGGTCTGATGACCTTACTGGGTGGCTTTGGATGTGCCCTTGTTGGCCTTGGCCCCTGTGTCTCGCTGTTTATCTTAACTGTTTCCTGCGACCCACTCAAAGTAATTGTTCTCACTGCAGGGTGAGTCTTTTATCACATGATAACCCCTACTTTTGGTTTTCTGTTTTTATCCTTACAACTTTCTATTCGCCTTATTTGTAGGCTCGAAGCGCATGGAAACTAACAGTCATCATCATCATCATCGACACTTCCACTTCCAGCGTATTTAGAAATTGATTGAATTCAGTCGATTGGAAGCGACCCAGAGGTGAACAGTGTACGGTTAGTGACGAAATGCGGAAATACTAATCAGCAAACTCAGCCGGCCTGACAACTACTGCCGAGTTGAATGGGGACCTCCAAACTTGACTCGCTAATTGGTAATAACACTGGCCCCTCACGAAGAGACGGGACCTTACTTTGGTGTGACGGTTTGTGTGCCTCCATGACCCATTGAGCTATATCGGGTAGTGACCGTGAGACACTCAGAGTCTTGCATACCAGTTTGGTCAATGGCCAGAGGCCTTGTCAACACGTTCTCCTGGCCCTTTGAGTTGGGGTTAGAGCATGTTTGGCGACTTGTTGCATAAAAAAATGGTAATGCATTTGAATCTGCCGCCAAACACTGCTGCCTTGCGATCAGGCCTTAGAGCCAAAAACTTTATTTGAGGATCATACTTGTCCTTTTGTATAGGCGTGGACTGGCAGTATGACTTGTTGCATAAAAAAATGGTAATGCATTTGAATCTGCCGCCAAACACTGCTGCCTTGCGATCAGGCCTTAGAGCCAAAAACTTTATTTGAGGATCATACTTGTCCTTTTGTATAGGTGTGGACGCCCTGGCAGTATCCCATCCCACTTACAACCATGACATTTACAACCAGCAAAACTCTCATACCGCATCGACCATCAGGTGTTGCTATCAGCCCGGTCGTCTTACTGCATAAATCAGGGTGGGTAAGCGAAAAAAAATGCTACTGCTGATGCCTCTCCTCTTACACTTCCACATTATTCTTCTTCTACTTTACCCCACCTAAATTTGAATACTCTCCCAGCAGGCTTCAGCACTAAGACTGGCCGTTTCGCTCGTCCTCACACTCAACTGCAGCTTCTGTACGCAACAGTAATAGCAACAAGCAAAAACACTTCAGAGTCTGATTTAAAACCCTGAAAGCCAACCAACCTACTTAACTGTCTTTAGTGTTCGCATACTGAAGCAGGAAAACGTGCAAAGCGCCATTCAGGGTCGGAACTTCTGTTTGCGGTACAACTCTGCCAGTCTCACCCAAACATTGGATCTCTGGTAGGACTGTGGTTCTCCTGGAGGCCCGGCCGCAACCACAACTCCACCTGACAAATCATCGGAATCTAGCTGAAACTGAGTTTCCGTGCAGACCGAGAAGAGTGGTGGACCCGAAGGGCCGGGAAAATGGAAGATGCAAAAAATGCTGGAAACGTCCGCAAGCTCTTCCACTTGATTCGTTGGGCTAGCCCTCGGAAGCCTCTTGTCAGAGAAATTATCAGGGACTTAAATGACTCCCTGCAAAGCAGGACGTTGGTATCCATAGCATCTAAGTGCTCTCTGGCATTATTTTCCGCAGGTTGATGGATTATCGGGAGAGACAGATTCGTGAGAATCAAGCTGGGTTTCGCCCTGGTCGAGGATGCATCGACCATATCTTTTCCTTGAGACAAATTCTTGAATAACGCCACTCCTTCAAACGCCCCATGTTGATTGTTTTTCTGGACTCGAAAACTGCTTTTGATTCTGTCGATCGTCAGCAACTTTGGCAGTGTCTGGCGATCAAAGGTGTCCCTTCCAAAATTCTCTCCCTTACGAGGGCACTGTATGCTAATTCCTGTTGGTGTGTACGAGTATACGGGAAGTTCTCGCCTGATTTCACCACGTCCATTGGTGTATGACAAGGCTTTTCCCTTTTACTCTTTAGCTTTGTTATTGATATGCTGCTTAAAATTTCTCTGCCTGCCTCTGAAACCTCGTGAGTCGAAATGCTCCCGAGACGTTCCCTCATATACATGAAGTATGCTGACGATATGGCTATCCTTGGTTCAGATCCTTCCCAAATGCAAACGATTCTAAATAACCTAAATATTTCTGCCGCACGATTTGGCATGCAGTTCACACCTGCAAAGTGTAAACTGCTGCTACAAGACTGGGTGGGATCAAACCCGCACCTTATGCTTGTGGGTGAGCCAATCGATGTGGTAGATAAATTTGTTAACCTGGGTAAATGTATAAGTTCCGGTGGACTGGCTGGAAGTGAGATTGGTTCTCGAATCGGAAAGGCAAGGACAGCTTTTGTCTATGGCGTCGAAGTGACATGAGCTTATCTGTCAAGGGAAGAGTTTAAACTGCGTTGCGCGATCCATACTGTTTTATGGATCAGAAACGTGGCCCCTACGCGCAGAGGATATGCGAAAGATATCAGTGTTTGATCATCGGTGCCTCCGCAGCATTGCTCAGGTCTGGTGGGAACATCGGATAGTAATGCGGACGTACGCCAGATGGTCTTAGGAAAAAGGAACTCTCCTGCGACAGATGAATTACTCACGCTTCACAGGTTGCGCTGGTTAGGGCATGTATTCCGCATGCCAGAAGACCGTCTGCCTCACAGAGCTCTTTTCTCCCAGTCCTGTATGGAAGCGACCGAGAGGTGGACTGTGGCAATCAAGTACGAAGACACTAACCGGTAAACTAAGTCGGGTGGGCAACTGTCGCCTCCCTGGATGGGGACTCAGATCATCAGTGTTTAATGACATTGGTGGAAATGGCCCGATCGCACAGTCAGTGACGATTGTGCATCAAAGCTATCGCCTTCAATCCGTGGCTACCCAGTTTCTGAACAAGTGGAACATGCCTTCGCCTCCAAGGCTTGGTTGTCTGTTCCAGTTTCCCGGTGATCGAAACTGTAGCAGCTGGGACCAATGTGTCTATGGCACACGGTTTGTAGCTGATAAATTGTTTGAATTGAATTGAAAGCAGAATGTTCGGACCGGTGGGCGCAGTGTTTCGAACAACAATTCAGTTGGCCACCTGGTTCTTCAAATCGGGGCTGCATGTCTTTAATAGAAGGGCGGACTGTGAACATGGAGCCGTTTTCAAAGTCAGAATTGTCCGAGTGTATATCTTTACTCAAGCGTCATCGTGCCGCTGGTACTGACGCCTCTCCACCTGCTCTGTTCAAGGATGGTGCTGGGTTTCTCAACCAGTGCCTGTCTAATCTATTTATGTCTATCTGGATGAAAAATAACACCCAGACAGCTGGAGTGAATCAATAGTATTGCCCATTTTTTAAAAGGGCCCTAGCAGTGTATACAGTAACCAAGGAAGTGTTAGTTTGACTTCTGTTGTAATAAGGCTTCTGGGTCCTCTGATCCTTCGTCGTCTTGCGGTGGAACGCGAAACCTTGTCTCTTGAGAAGCAGGCGGAATTTCGACCGGATTGAGACAGTGTTGACCACAATTTCACACTCTTTGGAAGGAAGTGAATTCGCTATTCTATGGCGGAACTTCTGTTTAATGGAAAGTCTGTTTTACATCATTCCTGTCTGGTATAAAATCCATCAGTTATTTTGAAGCTTTCTCGATCGAATCCAACCACTGTCCAGCCTGTTCAGGTTCAATGAATTTCTCCATCGTTTCCCACCCAGCCTCAAATAGACCGAGTGAATGAGCAGTGTAGAAGGAGAAGAATGATAAATACCCTAGAATAAATAGCTTTGGAGAGTCAATCTTGCGTGGCTATTAACGGTAGATCGAAGGGGTGTTTATTCCGGACTATGTGAAGAACCATTAGATATCCCTTGATCCATATGACCGGTCATCTCCCTTTCTTTTTCATTGTTTGAATGTTTATTTCCATCTCAGCCCTGCAAACTATTTAAAAACAACAGATCAGTGTGCAGCGTATAGAGTGGACACCAGAATGCAAAGACCACTTGTGTGCTCGCATTACACGATGTACATATCTTGTGGTCTTCTTCTTGATTCTAAGCCCAAATAATTCTAGCTGTTTTTTTGCAGATTCTCGGACCTAGGCCCTTTTTATTGCCCCTACATTTTCTGCTGATCGAACCCCTTCAATTTACCGTTTTTTTTCCAGGGGATTCTTCTGGTTGTTATCACTACTCCTGACCTCGCTTTGTTGGCTCGCCTTCAGTTCGGTACTCAGTAATCTCGCTCTCAGTCTATTTGTGGCCGTTGCATCCCAAGAGCTTCTGCGGTTCGCTTTCTTCAAACTGATCGTGTAAGTGCAGTCTTTCCATCGTATTCGACTAGCGATTTCTTATTCCGTATTTGTTATTTTCAACCTAAACCCAGTCACTTAATGCCCCTTGATTGGATGGTTGAATTGTCTGTGGGATCTCACATCTCTTTACTATGTGTTGTAATTTGCTCCATTGTATTTCATCGTATTTTATTGTTTTGTACATTTATATTTGTTTCTTCCGTGCACGTACAACGGCCCACCTAAATTCCGCAGTTTTAGCTTTATAACAGCGCCAGAAGTGAATATCGGTGATTATTGCCGAATACTGACTAGCCATATGTATGCATCGGGCGCGTCTCGTAAATGCTACTTACGTTGTGGGTCTCAGCTGTCCAGCTGTACTGACTGGAGTAATCAATCCTACGCCACCATCTAGGGGTACTGGTGGCTCTAGAACTGTCCCCTATCGTTCATCCTCCAGTCCTGTTCTCTCGGGTTTACACCGAGTGCAGGGTGTTCATTTGGATCAACTTGCCGCTAAATGCAAACCTTACTTGGAATTGCCCATTGTGCTCGGGTGTTCATCGGTTGGATCTGACAGGACAGTCTTGATACGGATGTTGGCCCATCATTGGCTAAAGTCGCACCAACTCACTCGACAACTATGATCACGAATTTAAATGCCTTTAAATACCGTCATTGTAACACCCTCCGCGTGTGGGATTAATGGGTTTCTGGTCTAAGTTAGAGGTTATCACACTGCTGGTCAGCCGCTCGTCTCCAACCACTGGCCGGAGGGCAGCGCGTTCGATACTGCAAGTTTCGTGAGATGCGCACTGCTTTGCAATGCTTCTAGGCTTTTCAGTATACATTGGCTTCACTGACAACGTGGAATCCCTTGATAGTAAGTGTCCGTCATGATTGCTCTTACAATTAATTGGGATTTCTGGTCAGCGCTGCCTTAAATCAGAATGGTAACCCTGACACTTTTATGAACGTACACGTTGCACCCGCACTTTTGCGCGTAGTTATAGGTTTTTTAGTTACAATTTATCAATGTTCATACTAGAGTTCCTTCGAAAGGAACGTCAAAGACAAGTGATTTCCGGTAGGAATGGAACAGCTGTGCAATGTTCGGGTTTCTTGTACAGACTTGACTAACACGACGAAATATTGATTGAAAATTTCCCAAATCTCCTCAAAATGAACGAATAGCCAGGTGACCCTACCTCAAACGCTAAATAGTGAAGAGTCTAAAGCCCGAAAGAAAGCTCGTGAGGATTTTGTTACCGGAAACAGAAATGCCTCATACCGACTGATACTATCGACTGGCCCTATGAAAGCGATGGTCAGTGAAACGATAAGTGAAAAAGGCCAAAATGCCTACTGGAATGATAGGCCGAACACTTCGAAAAACAGTGTGGCTGGTCTCGGTCAACAAGCGCATCAGATGCCGGTACCATCCAGTGCGCGTATGAGTCTAGTCGGAAGGGTTTGTGAGTCGCATATGTGCTGTTCTCCCATTCCGTCACGAAGAGACTGGACCTTACCGTGGTGTGGCGGTTTGTGTATCTCGGCGACCCNGTCTCAGCTGTCCAGCTGTACTGACTGGAGTAATCAATCCTACGCCACCATCTAGGGGTACTGGTGGCTCTAGAACTGTCCCCTATCGTTCATCCTCCAGTCCTGTTCTCTCGGGTTTACACCGAGTGCAGGGTGTTCATTTGGATCAACTTGCCGCTAAATGCAAACCTTACTTGGAATTGCCCATTGTGCTCGGGTGTTCATCGGTTGGATCTGACAGGACAGTCTTGATACGGATGTTGGCCCATCATTGGCTAAAGTCGCACCAACTCACTCGACAACTATGATCACGAATTTAAATGCCTTTAAATACCGTCATTGTAACACCCTCCGCGTGTGGGATTAATGGGTTTCTGGTCTAAGTTAGAGGTTATCACACTGCTGGTCAGCCGCTCGTCTCCAACCACTGGCCGGAGGGCAGCGCGTTCGATACTGCAAGTTTCGTGAGATGCGCACTGCTTTGCAATGCTTCTAGGCTTTTCAGTATACATTGGCTTCACTGACAACGTGGAATCCCTTGATAGTAAGTGTCCGTCATGATTGCTCTTACAATTAATTGGGATTTCTGGTCAGCGCTGCCTTAAATCAGAATGGTAACCCTGACACTTTTATGAACGTACACGTTGCACCCGCACTTTTGCGCGTAGTTATAGGTTTTTTAGTTACAATTTATCAATGTTCATACTAGAGTTCCTTCGAAAGGAACGTCAAAGACAAGTGATTTCCGGTAGGAATGGAACAGCTGTGCAATGTTCGGGTTTCTTGTACAGACTTGACTAACACGACGAAATATTGATTGAAAATTTCCCAAATCTCCTCAAAATGAACGAATAGCCAGGTGACCCTACCTCAAACGCTAAATAGTGAAGAGTCTAAGGAAAGCCCGAAAGCTCGTGAGGATTTTGTTACCGGAAACAGAAATGCCTCATACCGACTGATACTATCGACTGGCCCTATGAAAGCGATGGTCAGTGAAACGATAAGTGAAAAAGGCCAAAATGCCTACTGGAATGATAGGCCGAACACTTCGAAGAACAGTGTGGCTGGTCTCGGTCAACAAGCGTATCAGATGCCGGTACCATCCAGTGCGCGTATGAGTCTAGTCAGAAGGGTTTGTGAGTCGCATATGTGCTGTTCTCCCATTCCGTCACGAAGAGACTGGACCTTACCGTGGTGTGGCGGTTTGTGTATCTCGGTGACCCATCGAGCTATATTGGGGAGTGTCCGCACGATGCTCACAGAGTCTCTCATACCAGGTTGGTCCATGGCTAGAGGTCCGACGAACACAGTCTCCTGGCCCTCCAGGTCGGGGGTTAGAACATGTATGGCGACCTGTTCCGTAGAAAAGGTAATGTACTTGCATTTCCAGCCGAGCACCGCTGCCTTGCGGTTAGGCTTTTCAGCCAAAGGCTTTGGTTGAGGACCCTAATCGTCCTCCTGTCTAAGTGTGGGCGCACTGGCAGTATCCCAGCCCACGTACAACCATGAACTGCACATACACAAATAAACTCATGCCACATCGGCCGTCGCGTGGTCGCCTTACTTGCTGCATACAGCAGGGCGGGTAAGCGAAAACATGCTACTGCTGACGCCTCCTTCCTTACACTTTCACGTTTTTCTTCTTCCACCCTCCCCCACCCGAATTCGAATACTTTCTCCGCAGGTCCCAGCTCTAGGACTGACCGT